TGATAAATTTAAGTACTGTAGAGCACATTGAAATACCCACATGCCGTTTTTTTGGAAACTTTGATACAGTAAAGAGTTAGAAGAACCTCAGTGCCAAATAGAGACTTTTTTTACTTGAATAGCTACCAGCACATCTTGAATTAGCTGAATGTTACCTGTTTTCAATATTGAGTATAGTTACTGAATTGTTGTTTCTTCATTTTTCAGATGGTACCAATGTTGAGAATACTGATGATTCAGTTGACCCTAATTCTATCAATGCATTAGAGCAATATGCTGCACATGTGAGTAATTATCACTTAGATTCAACTTTTATTATTACGTCCCTTATGAGGATAGGGTCACATTCAGTCAAACTGTTTTTAGTCTGTTCATTTTGTTCTAAAAATCATCAAAATCAAGCATTTCTCGGCAGTTTACAAATGGATTTTGTTCAAACTTGGTATATACGTTGGACATTATAGGACCTTGCACATCATTTTGTTTTCAGATAAGATTTAAAATGGCCGACTGGCGGCCATTTTGTTTTAATAAATATGGTTCTAGTGCTATATCTCTGACTTGCTGGGACTGATTATGTTCCAATTTTGAATATTCATTATACATCATGCCATAGATATACAGATATATTAGTTTGACGATCCTATTAAAAATGGCTGAATGGTGGCCATTTTTGTGCAAGAAAATCATTAAATATAAAGCATTTCTCAGCTGTTTACAGATGGATTTTGTTCAAACTTGGTATATACATTGGAAATTATAGGACCTTGATGCACATCATTTTGTTTTTCAGATAAGATTCAAAATGGCAGACTGGCGGCCATTTTGTTTTAATGAATGTGGTTCTAGTGCCATATGTCTGACTTTCTGTAACTGATTATGTTCAAATTTTAAATAATTTAGAACTGTGTTATGGTCTTTGATACCATATTTGTTTTATTAGAAACAAATTCCCAATAAAAGCACATATAAATATGGAAAACTAATTGTATACTGAATCATTAAAATATTATGTATTTTGACCCATACAAATACCTCGGTAAGGATGATTCACGTACTTAGATTGTTTTCAGCTTTATTTTTGACAACAATGCATACTGTCTCAATTATTTGTAGGCTACCAGTGAGCATGGTACAGATCAAAGTGGGCTGGCACTACTTGCTAATTTAGATGAGAAAAAGACAATGGTTCCTCCTCTTGCAGTAAAAACAGTTAAGATATTGCTTTTTTCTTTGTTTCATTCTCATTTGCTTGGTAGTTTTGAGTCCCAATAATATTGAGACAGGCACTTAGTTGCTGGAAAGACAGTTTGCAATGACATCATGGTAACGGTCTGTCTGATTTCACACCACTTTGCTGCTGAGGAACACTCAGGCTTGATGAACTGATAATTTGTGCTCCATTTTTGCAGAAGATATTGCTAGTCATGTAATCCATGTTACTATGTCATATCTCTCCCAATTCAAAAAACAAAAACAAAAACACCATTCACATTGTATTCATATATTGAATGACGGATGTATAGATAAAATGAATAATTGACATAATTAATCATTGTCAAGTTTTACATTTATTAAATCATGGTCTAAATTGACCTGGTCTGGGGTAATGAAGTATTGCATTGTGTTGCTAAACATTATTAATAATTATTATCATTTTACTTCACAGACTGTGATGGGTGGTCTTTCTGCAGGTAATCTGGGTAAAGTTGCAACATATGACATGACTAGTAAAGCATTTAGATGTGGGCATGATGGTTGCGGTAGAATGTACACAACAGCACACCATCTCAAGGTATTTTATATGTACACATTTATAACACATTCTGTTACGCTATTTTCTGCTGTGGAATATATATAGCTCCAGTTGATGTCATGATAGCGACGGATGTACTTTATCTCATCTTCTTGCAACATGCACAATGTTTCCTCCTTTGCTGTACATGATACAGATATGTATATGAAGGATTGTGACTGTAAACTGTTTTAATGCAGCCATGTACATTAAATACTAATTTATATTTGTTTAAATTTAGTATTTTCTTTATTAGTAGTACATGTGCTTCTGTAAATAACAGATATGCATGTTTATATGATTAAACCTACTGGGGTAGCCATGTTTTAGTGACGCAGTAAACAATACCGGTAAATGCAATTTTGGTTTATGTGTACTTAGGGATGCGCTTGCTAATAGAGCAAATACAGTTGATTCGATATTGGTCAATTTCTGAATGATTATGTCATATGGTTTGGAAAGCACCGGTTAATGGTACATGTGGCTTACCCAGTAGTATATTGGCGTAAAACTTGTCTTTCTCTCATAGGTTCACGAAAGAGCTCATACAGGTGACCGACCATATAAATGTGAACATCCAGGCTGTGGGAAAGCCTTTGCCACCGGCTATGGACTGAAGAGTCATACTAGAGTACATACTGGTGAAAAACCATACAAATGCCCCGAAGAAAGTTGTCAGAAATCATTTAAAACTTCAGGAGATTTGCAGAAGCATGTTAGAACTCACACAGGTGAGTCTTATTTCAAAAACTTTTGTTCCAAAATAACTGGATGACTCGCTGATTGAAGCCAATGGCAAGCTTGACTGGTGAACCATTAGAGTGCTAAATATTTTCCTATCCAAAATTTAGTGCAAATATTTTCAAATTTTGTGAAACTTTCACTAAACTTCATCCTTATGTCTATCTGTGAACCTTTCCATTGTTATCGTCGCCTTGGACTCAATTCCTGTAGCTTGTAGCTCTTCAAATCTTACAAAAGTTATTTCAATTATTTGTTGATTAACTGATATTGTATGATTCTGTTCATATTTTCAGGTGAGAGACCTTTTAAATGTCCATTTGAAGGATGTGATAGAGCCTTTACTACGTCAAATATACGAAAAGTACACATTAGAACACACACTGGTGAGCGACCATATATATGTCGGGAAGATGGTTGTGGTAGAGCATTTGCCAGCGCTACTAACTATAAAAATCACATGAGGATACATACAGGTGAGCGAATCGATATTGTTTGCTAATCTCTGAAATCCAATTTTATAAAGGATCCTTGTAATCATGGAGGTTCACACTTTTAATTTGAAAAATGTTATCTAACCATGTAACATCAAGTGAGATTTGTTTTGTCTGATTAATTTAATTATCAATATGATTGATACACACCACAAATGAGATGTACAAGCAATTTATTTCAAAAATGTTTATTTCAAACCATGCTGTATGTAATCTGCTCTCAGCTACGTCTTATGGTACAGACTGTTGTGAACATGTCTTATTTAGTAAAACCTCAGACTAATCTTATATTAAAAACGCTGTATCTATTCCATCTTACTCTATCAAGGTTTTTAATGCTAAATTAGTGTTATACAGGTATATATGGCGTGTAATTTACATGTATATGTGTACCATTCGCTGAAAAAAAAAAGTTTATGGTATATTTCATCAGGTGAGAAGCCATACGTCTGCACTGTTGCCGGATGCGGCAAACGTTTCACCGAGTACTCTAGTTTATACAAGCATCATGTTGTACATACGCATTCCAAGCCTTACATATGTAACCACTGTGGTAAGACGTACAGACAGACATCAACACTAGCTATGCACAAACGAACTGCTCACGGCGACTCGGATGCAACCGAGGAAACGGAAGCACATTTGTTTGCACAGCAGCAAGGTAAGCATTCATTTTTTTGTATGTATAAATTCAACTAATTTTTTTTCCAGATACGGTAGCTTTCTGGCCATTCATATTACCCATATTTTCTTTATTAACAGTACATGCACTTATGTAAATGATAAAAAAAAGTGTTTATAAAAATAAATAAATAAATAAATAAATAGTAGAAACGGTTCAAATTATGACCTAAATCTACGATTGCTATATTTGCATTATTGTAACTGGGAGGATAAATAACATAGTGGCATATCAATGCAGCCAATCACAATGACTCACTCAAGTGACATATTCTGTACATCTTTTTTAAGCTGCAGTGGCCGGAGAAGCAGTTGTTGCAGCCGCAGCTGCAGCAGCCGCAGCTGCTGTGGGCATGCCTCCTATGAAAAGGCCCCGGATTCAGTATCACCTGAATGCGCAAGGTGAAGTGACACAAACACCGACAACTATAACAGAATCAGGTTCAGATGGCACTGAAACGCAAGATGTGATTACACCTGTACCGGTCGCTTTAGTATCTACTATGTCACAGGATGGTGTAGTCACAACTACAGATACAGAAGCAGCCATAGCTGCGATGCAGGCAGCTGTAGACAATGATCCAACACAAATCACTACCATACAGGTGAGAATCAATCAAACAACATAATGACCCCTCAAGAAAAAGCTCCACAAATGTAGGAGAAGGCGATATTCAACTTTTCATCAGTATTATGTAGCCAGCCATCTTGATTCTCAAACAAAGGATTATGGGTAAAGTATGACATAGAATCATAGTATCATAGAATCTGTTGTCAAAAATTGAGAAAATCTTTTGCTGAAGAATCAAGATGGTGGAATACATAAATTGATGAAAAGTTGAAAATCTAGAGAATGAAAAGTGATATAAAAAACTGTTAATTGCATGTTCTTACATTTGTCGAGCTCTTTTATCTGTGAGTATTATGTTGTTAGCCTCGACTTTCCCTTTAAAACATACTGACTGCAATAAATTTCTTATTATTTAATTTAATGGCAGAAAACACATAATTTAAGTCAGAAATTCATTTATTTAATTGACTTTTATTTCAGATCACAGATCACCAACAGTTGGAAGAGGCTGTGAATGCAGAATTACAACGGACGGATGGAACTGTGCAATCAGAGGGGGTTCAGATGACGGAAGAAAATCAAAATACTACTGAAGCCATGATATCTGCTTACAATGCATAAAATGTTGTTGTATATATATATTTTTTTTTACGACAATGAAATGTTTAAAAGGTTGCTACCGTTTATTCGGTGTTTATTTTCATTTACTGATTTCGGTTTCATGCTAGTACACCTGCAATAGAATGTAAATAAATTTGTTGGTAGAGTATGGGTCATTCAAAGGTGTAGAATATGGTAATTATTAAATTATAACTTTGTCTTTCTTTGAATACTATGCTCTAGCATGTTGTTAGACCGGGACTTGTGGTAGCTCATTTCAGCTGAACCTAGCCTTGTGGTAGCTCATTTCAGCTTAGTCCTAGGCCTTATGGTAGCTCATTTCAGCTGGGAACCCGCGCCTTGTGGTAGCTCATTTCAGCTGAGTCCTAGGCCTTGTGGTAGCTCATTTCAGCTGGGACCCTGGCCTAGTGGTAACTAATTTGAGTTGTACCAAGCCCTGTGGTAGCTCATTTCAGGTGGACCTAGCCATGTGGTAGCTCATTTCAGGTGGACCTAGCCATGTGGTAGCACATTCAGCTGGACCTAGCCATGTGGTAGCTCATTTCAGCTGGGACCCGCGCCTTGTGGTAGCTCATTTCAGCTGGACCTAGCCATGTGGTAGCTCATTTCAGCTGAGTCCTGGCCCTGTGGTAGCTCATTTCAGCTGGACCTAGCCCTGTGGTAGCTCATTTCAGCTGAGTCCTAGGCCTTGTGGTAGCTCATTTCAGCTGGGTCCCGCGCCTTGTGGTAGCTAATTTCAGCTGAGTCCTAGCCCTGTGGTAGCTCATTTCAGCTGAGTCCTAGCCCTGTGGTAGCTCATTTCAGCTGAGTCCTAGCCCTGTGGTAGCTCATTTCAGCTGAGTCCTAGCCCTGTGGTAGCTCATTTCAGCTGAGTCCTAGCCATGTGGTAGCTCATTTCAGCTGGACCTAGCCCTGTGGTAGCTCATTTCAGCTGGACCTAGCCCTGTGGTAGCTCATTTCAGCTGGACCTAGCCCTGTGGTAGCTCATTTCAGCTGGGACCCTGGCCTAGTGGCAGCTCATTTAAGTTGGGACCCACGCCTTGTGGTAGCGCATTTCAGCTGGGATATTGAATACACAGCTGATTTCTAACATCTTGTATTTACTCTCGAGAAAAATAACATTTGCGTCAACCACTCCTTTTATTGGCCATGATTAATGATACAATATTTTTTCCATTCAGTTTATTATAAACTGAACAGTCCATTTGTGCCTGTCTTGTTCTGATTATTTAGCCATGAGACCATTCCTTGGAATTGTGTATTCTGTATAAATTATGCAGGTCATATATATAAATTCATACATCACCAACTCCATCTCAGTTATGTACAATTTCCTCCCTCTAAATGATGTACATGACTGACAAAAAATGTCAATATCCTCCCCTCCCATACAGTTTCATGAAATCTGCTTTTAATACTAGAAGTTGTAGGCAATCCATTCCTGATGAAAGATCTTTACATCCTGTGGTTTTTTTTTATAAATATATAAAATATAAACAGGCCTTAGTGCCTTTCACTGTATTACATGATGTATTTGACTTGTAACCTTTTCACCACCAGACTTTCTTGTCCAAATTTTGCTGCAATTTTTTCCTAAATTCTTCAATATTTCTGGAAATAAACCCTGATTTTGGAGCCAACAGTTTTTGGAGTTTTTACTAAAAAAATTTGGCTATTTATGTC